AAATTTGGGTTTGGTGTTGCACTGCAAGAAGTGAGCCTGTTTGCTGCATGGAAAGAGACTTCCTGTCACAATTGTCTTTACGGTTGGCATTCTGGGAGGGCTTTGCATGCTCTTTTGGTAACTCTCACTTGGTCACATGAGCAAGTATGTGTGATGTTTGCCTCAGAATTAGCCTGCAAACACTGCTGCCTGTCTTGAGTTTAGCCCTGTTCCCCATCCTTAATGAGAAAATGTTGATGAAGCACAACGTCCCCTCTTGAGGTGTCTGGGGGTTGGTGAGAATTTCTCTGCGTAAGAGTGAATGTCAGGTTTCGGAGTGTTTTCTCAACTGTCTGAGCTGACCCCTGGCCTGTCGGTACCTGTCATCTTCATTCAGGATACAATTTAGTCCCCTGAACCCCTCAGTCCTTCGGCCTGACAGGATCAGGTGATCGGAGGCTCAGCCTCACTGAAATGTTTGCATGCATCAACTCTGTCTGACATCCGTGCTGTTACTTGCTCACAGTGACCACCAGGTGGTGATCAGTTCTTTCTAAACAGACCTAGACCATGTCATTAATGACTTGAATTTGTGGGAAGTAAAACTTAATCTGTTTCCTTTGGACCCGAGTGATTCACCAAGACACAGTCCAGCTATACAATAATAGCATTTTTAAGATTTCTTCAAATTTCAGCTTTTCTGGGGATTGTTTTTTGTTGAAAGCACTATCCATATCTTTCTAGAATATTACAACCAAAAGTTTTGAGCTGATTCATTTGGACATGTGCAGCTTGGCATGCCTGCAGCTCAGGCCTGGCTCGGGTGGCTCTGAACCCTTCCAGGCCTTTCCTGTAAACCAACATAAAACTTTCTTGTCTTACCATTTTCCCCCTTTCTGGTCTGGTGTTCTGATCTTATTGACACCTCTCCTGTTACCTCTCAGCCTTCAAATCAATGAGTTTTGTTCTCCAGCGTTGAGAAATAGAGATGATTGGATGTTTTCTTGGTGAAACATTTTGTTTTTCAGTGAATTGGCATTTCATTTATTGAGCTAAATTTAATTTTGATTACTTGGATTTCATCTCTTTTTAAATGAGCTGGATCATAAGTGGAGAGACAAGTACCAATAAGTTCCTGCATGTTACATTTGTTGCAGATTTGTTCTCTGTGTATAGAGGGTTTTCACACCGGTAACTGGTAAACACACTTATTCAGCTGTGCTGTGTGTGATCTCTCACAGATCTGCTGCTTGAAACACCTGGACAGGCGCGCATCTGACCGCACAAAATGAAAAAACAGGTTTTTGACATCCATTCTTACATTTTCAGAACCGCTTATTCACAAATGGGGTCGCAGGGGGACCCAAGGCTATCCCAGTGGTCAAGGGGCAAGAGGCAGGGTACACTCTGGACAGTCCACCTGTCCATCACAGGGCCACACATACACACACGTTCACACTTCGGGGCAATTTGGACTGTCCAATCAAACTAACATGCAGGTATTTGGACAGGGGGAGGAAGCCGGACACGCACAGTCCACACAGAAAGGTCCTCGAACCCAGAACCTTCTTGCTGTGAGGCGATGGTGTGCTGACCACCAAGTCTTGACGTCTCACTGAGAAATAAGAAATTAATGTCAGTTCATTTGACTATGTTTACTATATAAATCAGGCATAAGACATGCAATTACAGTAACTTTAGATCATGAACGATGCTTAGTTTGCAGAATGCCAGCGCTGTAAAATGAGGAGGCCGTTTTAAACTTACTTTGAAAGTGAACCGGAAAGCCTTTTCTCCAGGAAGCGGCCCGCTGCTGGAGGAGGTGAGAAGTCTGCCAGCGGCCGACGCCTTCAAGCCCGCCGACGGTGAGTGGACCCGCTCGTTTTTTTATCCGATTTATCTTCCCAAGTTATCAGCCCCCTGACGTCAAGTCTTTACAGTCTATTTAAACGCCACCATTTTGTTGACAACAGCTTGGCTTCTCGATGACGGCAAAAAAAGAAAAGAAAAACCGTTTGGGTTTCATGTGAAATGGCGGTGGGACCTGGACGTGTTGGGGACAGTTATGATGCGCGTTTACGCACAGTTCCCTAAAGAAAGAAAAAACACACAAACAAAAAGCAGATCGTGATGTTGGTGAATGTTGTTCAGAAGTGTGAAAGTTATAGTCAACGTTAGTTTGGGCCAAACTGTTGAATACATCTGTTCATACAGATGTGTCCCCTTTAAACATTTGTTATGTTTATTTCTCTTTATGTATTTAAAGGCTTCAGTGTTAATGAAGGAGCACTGGTTTATCTTCCTTTCCTATGTCGTCACTGACTGTATTTTTTCACCTCTTATTTGTTGGCATTTCCTTATCACCTCCCTCAAAAGTTGAGGTGGGTTGTTGTCTTTGAGTGACAAGATCATCTAAAGATCTAAAGCAGTTTTCTGAATTCAAAGAGCAAAACTGATGGTATCCGTCTATAGGAAAAACAACTTTTTTTGGAGCTTTTAAATGTGAAGAACAAAAAGAAGACGCACATAACTGCATACCATCCTGTAGGGCACCAGTGTGCAAAGAGGCTGCATTAGGAGCAGATGATTGCATATTTAATACCAGATGGAAGCTTTTATCAAATATAAGAAGCACAAACAGGGACAAATAGGAAATGGGCAGAAAAAAACAGGAGTAATAGTGTTCTCTTAAGTGTCACCTATGAGAAAAAGAAATACGCCACGAGCATCTGGACCTTCAAAATACAAATAAAACAGTAAAAGAAATGGTAACTTTTGATAATTTCAATGCGCAATTTCAATGCGACTCCAGGAGTTTCCATGAGTCTTTACGATATTAGATTAGTATCCCATGTAGATGTTTAGAACTTTTTTGCCATCATCTAATATTAAGTCTACCATATTTGACTTATTCATTAGTCATAAGGGCACAATTATCTATTAGCTACCAAATCAAATTCTTTGTATTAGTCTTTAATGGTACTGACTGTCAGTCTGATCACCAGCAGAGTGCTGGTCCACTTCTGGCTCAGACTCAAACTGCTGGTCTGAATTCATAGTTAAGTGCCCTGGCTTGAGTCCATCTTTGAATGAAACACCCAATCCTGTCACTGTAAGCGTGCTGCTCTCATTTCCTTTGCCTAACTGCAAAGAAAGTGCAGACACAAGTTTGGATAGAATCGGTTTGGCACACATCAAATGATTATCTGCACAACTACACAGAAAACTTTTTTCTAACATGGCCTGGAGGGCAAAATACATTTTCTGGCATTTTTGACCATGTAATTATTATCTCAGTTTAATTGACTTACTTGAGTTTATTGCTTTTATTTTCCTGACAGTTTAATACCGACTGGGAATGTAGAATATGAAGATATTTAGGGGCAAAGAAATGACTTAGGACACTTTCTGTTTCTTTATCTAATACTGAAGAACTAACTGAATAAAAGGATGCTGTTTGAAGAGACTCTAATGGAATTCAACACTTTGTTGCACTTAAACAGACATGCACTTTAAAGAAAAACCTCAAGTGTGAGTAGCTTCTACGCTCCCCTTACAGATGATCTGCATATAACTTAAGGAAAGCTTAGAGGTGTTTATAATATGTCCAACTCTAGGTTGAGTCCCTTCCCAATGCCCTTACTAAAGGCTTTGGAATTTCACTAATCTGTGTGAGTGCACAGCAGAGGTCAGCTCAGTGTGGTCAGGAGCTTAGTTTAGCACCACATGGTCCTCATCTTTACATCTCAGAGCAAGAAATTGAAAGTTATTTTCTTTACATTAATGTTCACCTCCTGATCCAATGCTCCAGGAGAACTATGCGTGTTAATGATTAAAGAGTACAAAGTTAAAAAGTAAACTAGAGGAATGGCTGCACCCAGCAATAGAGCAAGTGGCAGCTGAGTTTCTCCACAGTGTTTCAGAATGTAGTCAACCTGTGGTCCATTCACAGATGACGATTAGGAGCTGCAACACCTTAAGAATCATCTCATACATCAAGCTTGAATAGTAAGGGGTGGTCAGCAGTACAAAGGGAGCTGTGATCTCTACATCATGAGGACAGAATCAGCTGAGATGTGGTCCACTCACCACCTCTGACTGTCCGGGGGAACCAGTTGCCATCTCAGGGTTAGGGTTCAGTTTTTTCTATGTAGCTGCTGCTTGGCAAATAATTAGGTTAAACACACAAATGTTGCTGTTTTTTTTCCCCATAAGAATAATAAAAGAAATACAGACCAAGTCTAGACAGTTTCCCAGATCACCAGTTTATGTCATAGAAGTCCTAAATGCCCTAAATGCTGTGGATTTGTGTTTGGTGAGTTTATTTTTTGGCTACTTTACAGAAAACAAAGTGCAATGGTTTCACCAAGAGACATATTTCTCAATTCAGCGACACATGATCTCTTTACTCCCATTGCACATATTTTCCACAGGAAGATACTCATAATTTCACGTATCAGCAGAAAAACAAAATTAAGAAATCTCTTTGAAGTCAGAGATTTTGTGTGACATGCTGAGCTTGTGCGGAGGTGTGACAGATGCGTGTGAGGTTATGGCTGAACTTCTTGCACACACTCCTCAGGATATTACACACGAAAGGTCCCAGATCTCTGCAGACACCATTGAGCTTTGAATTGAGGAGCTCTTCAGGACTTTTCTATTTAATTGGGAATCGGTGTATTTGTCCACACCTCATGCTGGGCTGTATTCCTGAGGTTAATTGTTTCTTCTTCAGTAAAATGTGAAGGTGTCTTGACAGGCAAAAGCAAAAGAGTGCTAATGTTTTGATTTTTTCTACCTCATTTGACTTCTGTTCATAGTTCACGTTTGATAATCAGAGCTATAACTAAACATGTCATCCTCTTCATCTGCAGTTGTAAGAAGGCAGAGCAAGCAAACCAGTTCTCTTGGAGGGAGCAGAGGGAGGGGGGAATAAGGGGAAGTGCAGATGCATTTCCCATAAGTCATTGTCAGCCGGCTCCTCCCCCCTGTGTTTGGCAGCAAGCCCATTATCAGGCAGAGCGGAGAGCGAATCCGGACTGTGCCGACACATTACTGAAGAACATGAAGGACAAGGCAGACTAACAGAGCACCTAGTGAGCTCAGATGAGGTTATTTAGAGCGGCTGCACAGAGACTGCTGTTCCGACCGGCATCTGCCCATTCGGCCTCGCCATTCTCTCTCGTGCACAGTTCGTTTTTCTTTTACCACATAAATCTGTCAGGGTGTGGCGGAGTAGCATTGTGAGACGGAAGTGACAGTTGAATCGTGTCGTTGTAGATCATCTTGCAGCACATGAAGTCGACAGAAAAGGTAACATCATTACCAAACTCCGAAGGCTTTTTAAAGATGGAATGGCAGCTTTTCTCTAGTGTTACTCACAGTAGTTCTGGGTCGATGCTGTAGATTAAATGCAAAAGTTTTCAGCTTGGAGGTTGCTGTGTGATTTTCCTGATGTTGAAGATTTCAGGGTTAAACTTTGAGGGAATGGCTTCGATCAAGTGTCAAACTGATGCAACATGCTGCAACTAAGGGCTCAACTCTCAGGTTGTGCCTCTTAATCCGCACGGCTGAAATCAAAGCTCTTATTTTCCTTGTATATTTTTCACCCTTCATACATTTTGAACTACAGTACTAACAGTCAGGGTTATGCAAATCATTATTGGGAGCTGTGGGTCTCCACCTCACCTTGCATACTCTGTCTGATGAGGAGTTCTTGCATTTAATGACAACGTTACAACTGACAAAACAAGGCAGGAGTTGGCCTTCAAGTCTCATCGGCTCAAAGCATAGTTTCAGAATTTCATTTTTTTTTCAGCTGTGAGTCATTGCGAATTTTCTTAAAATGACATGGCCCAGTCCAATATGCTAAACTTCAAACAAGCTATAAAGAGGTGTGTTAAATTGGTTGCTGTGCAGGCATGCGCTTTTTCGTTTTTATGCCTTTTGCAGGAGTAAATATTTGATCGAGGTTACATCAGCTTTATTACATTTCGGTTTGATGAAAGATAATCATTGATAAATGACTTATGTAACGTTTTTGACATGTTGGTCTCATTTAAACCTCCAGCAGAAATACCAATACATTACATTTGAATGTCATAAAGCAAAACAGCTCAGAGTTAGCAGGGTAGTTGGGCATTTGGATTCCATTTGCCTTTTTCTCTCGTCCAGTGTCATCACTCTCTTAGTGGCAGGGCATAACAAAATCCACTGTAAAGATTTGAAATCTACAACATTAATAAAGGTTGCTCTTTCTTGACAGCAGTCGGTAACCATGTGACTGTGGCAAAGCATTATGTGGGGTCACTTTACAGAGCATGTGCAGCGAGTTATATTCACATGAAAAATGTCAATCCTGTTTTACAAGAAGAACAAATGCATTACCAGTGAATTTGTAACTGTTAAATGAAGGAGGTCAAACCTCCCAAGGCTGTGGTAATATTCAAAAAGTGTGACTTTTCCCAGCATTTCATGGATAAACCCAGATTTATCACATTTCAATGATAGTAAGAAGGAGGCTTTTCACCCTGAGGTTGGGAGGCTGAAGGATAAGAGGTGCACCAGAAGGATACCTGCACATAACGTGCACCTCACTCAAAACTCTCTTTTCAAAATGTCCTTTAATCTGAGCTGTTTTCTTTCTCTCCAGATCCACTTTAGATAAAATGGCGGTGAGGCAGAGGATTTTCAACTCCACAGCTCCATTCTCTGACTCTCCCCAAGCTGAGCTGAAGGGGTCATACCCCTTCAGCTCCACCGTGAAGCAGGAGGCAGAGGAGGAGGAAGAGGAGGAGAAGGACACCAAACTGGGCTACATAGATGTAGAGTGGTCGACAAGGCCTTTGATTAAAAAGCTCCTGACACATGGAACTGCAGAGCAAGTGGGGAAAAGGCCCATCAAGACCTCAACCATCATTGCTCAGGCTGAATGTAAATGTCTTTGTTTATTTTTGTTCAGTGATCGTAATACATGGTGAGCTGTTCCTGGATGGAATTAAAGATAAAAATCCTTCCCCCTTTCAGGTGAGACCCAGGACTCCCAGGAGTTCAGCCCCTCTTGCTCTGAGCGCTCCTTTGTTCCTTCCCCGAACTGCTTCACCAGCAGGTATGACATTGACATGAAAACAGTCTCCACATTTTACACGTAATATTGATTTACCGGAGGGTTTTTACCACGCTCTGATTCATATTTCTCTCAGCCTTTCCTCCGAGCACAACAACGTGGCGTGCCCAACGACAGCCTTCGTCCAGCAGGCCAGCGGCTTTTCAGCGCACCTCACCCCCAGACAGAAGAGCCGGCAGAGGCAAAACCGCAAAGGGAAGAAGAAGCTGGAGAAGAGGAATCAGAGGCAGCAGCAGAGACACCGAATGCTGTCTGGGGTCCCTGAGCAGGAGAGTGGAAGTTCTCTGATTGCGATCAGGGTGAGAGCTGGCTATTCCTTCATTTCTAAAAAAGCTCCCAAGAAGTTTGGTACTTAGTCTGCTGCACTTCATATGTGCAGTGCTTTATTTGTGAATCAAACTCCAGGAAAGTCTACATTATTCTTTGGAAGTTTGGGTCTGAATCTTAAAACGGGCCTGTGTAAATATTAGCTTTCCTGTATTTTTAAAGAGAAACATTGAGCTGCCTTCAGCTTTTGAATATTCAGCCCGTAAGAATGTAAACATCATGTTTGGTCAGACGTGTTTTTCTTTACTCCTCCTGTAGGAAGAGTCATCTCTCGGAGGGAGCAGTGACCTCAGCGTTTCCTGCTGTAGCAGCGTTGAGAGCTCAGAGGAGCAGGAGCAGGAGCAGGGGCCTTCTTTCTACCCGCAGCAGATCTACAGCCCGGGCTCCAGCTGCGCTCCCCTGGACTGGGCTGAGCAGGTCCTGCGTACGCTCCCCAGCCTCCGTTCCTGTGAGCAGGACAGCAGCTCAGACTCCCTGAGCAGTCTGGGAGACTGCTCTTTGGCTCTCGCCGGCCTTCGGGGCAGCGTCAGTCAGGGGGACCCGTGCTACGCGGGGCCCTTTTTTAAAGATGTGGAGAAGGATGCGAGGGAGGAGGACGAGGATTTCTTTGCGGCTGATTCCGTGAGCAACGAGGGAATAATCTTTTTCAATGAAGTATGTACTTCTGTTCTTCAGTAAGCTTCCTTTTTTGTCTTTGCTGTAGTTGTGCTTCTACCAACCTAACCTTCTATCTGCTTTTTTTCTCTCAGAAAATCCAGCCGGTTGACTCTGAATACAAGGAAGGCAGGGAGTATCTGCTGTCCAAGTTTATCAAGGAAGGCTCCTATGGGGAAGTGAGCAGCGCTCAAGATGTGACCACAGGATTCAGATTTGCTGTGAAAAAGGTAAACAGTGACTTTGTTTCCCTCTATTAGCTAGTTTAAAAGTGTGTAATGTGGCATCTTAGACTTTTGCTCTTTTGTTTTTCACAGATTGCCCTGAAGAGGTTCACCAGTGAGGAGGTGGGTACGTGGAGTGCCCTCAGATCTCCTCGGGTGGTGGAACTCTTCGGAGTGGTCAGAGAGGGGCATTACATTGTCCTTTTGATGGCACAGAAATCTGGTAAACACACATTTCCTCCTTTTATTTCCCGTTTCTCATCTTTAAGTGTTACCAGAAACACACCTGCTGTAAAACATTCATGATGAAGTTCATGTCTTGAGAAAATGTGCACGTGATTGGCGTCATGGTGTGGAAGGGGTTTTGGGCTGTTGTGAACTACTGTGGGACTTCCAAAATGTGGCGTGGTCCATAACATCACAATAACACATTTTACTCTTTCGGACATCAAATCCTGACTTCTTCACATCTTCATAAACCTAACGTGGATGATTGCTAACTAGCTTTTGTCCTGGCCTGACTTGGTCTTTTTATTTTACAGGCTCCGTGGGTGAGCTGATAGGAAAACGTGGCCGTCTGCCTGAGGATTTAAGTCTGCATTACCACTCTCAGGTTTTAACAGCGATCGACTACTTGATGAAGAAAAAGGTGGCGCATTTAGATATTAAAGGTATGTAAAAAAACTATATTTTCCATTTATGAAGCCAAAGCGTGATCATTAATAGCAGAAGGAGATTTTGGTATTTATGCACATGTTGGTAAGCACAGCAGGAAAAAGCAGTTCATTCTCAGCTTTACAATAAACATGTCCTCCTCCATTCTGGTGACTCAGTACATGTTTTTACTAAGTGCCTGGGAGCTGTTGAGATGGCAGACTTAGATGTCAAGGACAAACTCCAGATATTGGGCCAGAAACATGTCAAGAGAAACAGTTTCACAGCCGTAATAAAAGTAGAACAAAATTTGTCACCTTGTCTTTCACTCCCCACCGTAAGTGGAAAACAAATAATACAGTCAGATTTAAAGTCAGATTTCTGCCAAAGTCTCCCTCAGAGGCTGTAGTGTTTTTGTGAAGCTGTTGTGTGGAACACAAGTGTCATAGATACAGCCTAGATTTCATCTCGAGGCACCTGTGTGTTTTGTGAAACCAGATTACCACTGCCGGGCTGGGAATTTCCCACAGTGTGACTCACCGCTGCTCTTTAGAGACGGCGCATGCGCCAGAGATCAGGAGAGAGAGAAAGAATGAAGCGGAGGGGGGGATGGGGTGAAGAGCAGGAAGTTAGAGAGATGAGAAGAAACGCACAACTACACAAGTACAGAAACAGGGTGGAATGAAAGACAATTACAATAAGGGAAACAGAAAACAGAAGTATGATAACATCAGAGAGTAGTGACAGGGAGAAAAAAGGCAAAAACAATTTTTTTAAATGTATTTTTATTGCAAAGCTTAGGCGCCACCTGCTGTTTGGAAAGCTTAAGATAAAGCAAGAAAGCAAGGATAACTGTATTTTAAAAGTCTCCCGGTTAGCCGTCACCAGTTTTTTTTCACATAAAAGCCTTTTTTTCCCCCTCAGCAGCTGTCCCTCGCTGACTTCCTGTTTCCCTCTGTGGCTCCTCTCCCTGCCAAGCATTTAATGTCCACACAGCCGCTCTGTTTCTAATTATATCACCGTCAAACTTCAGCTAAAACAATGTGCCTTAGACCACTGCGCAGTGCAAAGATTAACGGTTCCGCTTGGTTCTCACAGCTGACAACGTGCTGCTATCAGAGGACGGAAAAGACACCTTTCTTTGTGACTTTGGGCACGCAGAGAGACTCGACAACCAGGGCCAGAGCCTCAGTGGCTCCAGAGGTAAAGGGTGCTTCTTCAGCTCGTCAGATCAGGTGATGTGTAATCTATCCTCCACCACGTTCTGAATTGAATGTTTTCTCAATGTAATTCAATGCAGTTCTGAAGGGCACTGAGACACACATGGCCCCTGAGATTGTAAAAGGGGATCCCCGTGGAGCCAAAGCAGATGTGTGGAGCAGCTGCTGTATGTTACTGCACATGCTCAATGGGTGTCAACCATGGACGAGATACTACACCTGCAGACTCTACCTAAAGGTGCTCCGCACAGAAGTTTACTGAGATGAACGCCTGCAGCTTCATCACAGATGTTTGACTAAATCCTGTAATGGTGGTGGTTACAGATTGCAAATAAGCCCCCTCCTCTGAGAGACATCCCGCCCGACTGCTCCCCTCTCACTGCGGAGGTTTTGAAGCATGGACTCCAAAAAGATCCGGTAGAAAGACCTTCAGCGTCAGACCTTAAAGAAAAAACCGACAGAGCTCTAAGAGAAGGTGACGTGAAATCGCTCTGCTTTTCAATTTTTTTATTCTTTTTTTTTTTTATGTCCCACCTTCATCAGCATGGTGGTGCAGCTTTATGGAGCCTGGAAGGGGAAAATCAGGCCATTAGAAAGTGTCACATGTTAGCTTTTTACTAAGTTGCTCAGAGACATCAGTATTTTTATCACTTATTCCTTTCAGTTTAAAGTCTGCAGAGTTCATTGTGCCTCTTTTATGATTTTCCTGCAGTTGGAGGACTTACCAGTCCAGTCAGGGGGCCATACACTGAGCCGCTGCATGTTGTCAACAAGCCGCAAGACTCCGTGCAGCTCATCAATATCAGCTCTGACTCTGAGCCAGAAGAGGAACATCCGGAGTCTGCTGACAAACTGATCACTGCAGCACTGTGGAAAAACAACCTGGATGGGGAGGCAGAGGCAGAGTCACAGCAAGGTTTGCCTTCTAGTCCACAAATGCTGATCCCTGAGCCAAACTACAGGAGGGAAAATAAGATCGGCATTGAACCTGAGCTTGAGCTTCGCAAACTGGAGAGAGGTGAGGATTCGGCGTTCTGCTGATGTCCGCAGGTCAGTGTGGAGCTCAGGCCCTGCTCATGGTTGGCCCATTTGTTTTATTTCAGACTTCTACCTCAGCAGTCTATCCCAGCTTCATCCTCCCGAGATGCAGGAACAGCTCCTGTCTTGTATCAACAGTGACCACTCAAACTGGGAACCATGGGACAAAAAGGTGATTGAAAATAAACACAAGTGGACATTTTTCATTTAAGGTCTGAGCTGAGAGTCCAACTCCACTCACCTTTTCTCATTCTACGCGTTTACTGAGTCGAAAAGAATTGTACGTACAATCTTATTATAAGGACTGTAACCTGATCCTGTTTTGGGGGGAACAGTGGAAACTTAGAGGGAACAGCTTCACCTTAAAGACCTAATTATTGCTACTCAGACAAGATATTCTGAGTCTGAGACTTTAACTGATTTTTGTATTCAATTTTCTGAAACAAAACTGTTTTTCTTGTGTCTCTCATCTCTAAACAAACCTCAGGACTCTGGCCGGTGGTCTTTGATCCCAGGAGACACCTTCAGCTCTGGCGTGTTCTCCTACAACAGTCAGCCAGATGTACCAGTCTTCAGCATGGATTTGCTGGGTCAGAACCAATTTCCACCACCTTGCTGTTTTGAAGGTGAGATAGAAGACATAAACATCTATCTTTTTTCCCCTTTATTTGGCGTGTTGTGCGTCTTAACCATCTCCCTGTGCCCGCAGGGGTGGATGTGTGCATCAGAGACTTCGGCAGCAGAAACATTCGCATCAGGGAGACGCGTCGTGTTAAAGTGGGCCACATTGCCACCGGGATAAGTGATCAGGTGAGAGCTGGCGGGGTCACTCATTCATACGTGCAGAGACATTTCTGTTGGTCATTAAAAAAAAAAAGAACTAAGTGAGCTACTGCTTTGTAGATCTCTGAGCGGATGTTCACCCTGAAGACTCCACAGGGCCAGCAGGTGGCTCACGACGAGGAGGTGCATGAATCGGGTCTGCAGCTCTGCTGTGTTCCCGCTCCAGATTTCAGCTCCGCCTGGACATGGAGGATCAGAGACGGAATGCTGGAGACAAAATAAAGCCCAGAGCTCCGCCCTTCCGTTGGCTGAACTACTTGATGTTTTTTCACTGTGCCAAACAGATTGAATCGTGTTCCTGCTTCTTATCAGTTTCAATGTGCCACGACAGTGTTTCAATCCCTCTGATTCTTTTATATGGCCAAGTGTTTTGTTTTTTTATAGCTTCGTGTCTTGGAAATTTTAGCGATGTAACTGTGAGGGAATAAACTTTTTAAAATCTACATTGTGTTGATATTTTGTGCTCATGGTTTCAATGTACAATGTGGTTGGGGTCATTGCTGCCGTGTGAAATACATTTTGGTCAGTCTATACCAGTGTTTCCCATCCCTGGTCCTCAAAGGACACTGCCCTCCGTGTTTCCAAGCTCCATCACACTGGATTTAAGCTCTGATGAAGACCCATTCATTTGAATCAAGTGTGCCGGAGGAGGGATACCTGGAAGACATGCAGGGCATGTGCCCTAAGGACCAGGGTTGGGAAACACTGGTTTCCACGAGCATATTAACACCCACCCATAACATATAAAACCATATCCTGTCATTACCTGTGATTCTCCAAATAACCTAATCTGCATATTTTGGGGCACAGAAGTAGGCCAAAGTTCTTCTTATAGTACCGTTACCTCTTAAAAGTTATTTTAATTTTCCTCGCCACATTCATCCCTCTTTCATTCAATGTTTGGGCATGACAACACGAGTTAAAAGATTTATTTTCATTATCACAACATAAAAAGGTCACTGCAAAAATGCTTTCCAGGGAGACAAAAGTTCAGCTTGACAATTGTGATAGAAAAGGTGAAAATCTGGGGATACCAAAGGGATTTCATTGTAAAAAAAGAAAAAAGAAACACCAAGGCACTGACAAAAGAAACGTATAAAAAGCCTTTTGTTTGGAGATAAAGTTGCAGTTTGAGTAACTGACATAAAAATACAGTACTTGGAACATGTGTAAAGTGAGGTATGTATCTGTGAGCAGTCCACTGATACCCGTGTCTGCTGCACATCTTCTACAGGTAAAAGCAAAATGTGACTCCACCTACGAACAGTAAAAAAACAAAAAAAAAAAAACAACCAACAGGCTATTCTGCTCTTAAAGGGAGCCACAGAAAAAGTCACAATGGCAGTCAAGACCCCAAAACTGCTTGATTGTACATTATACATGGTGGGAAAATCAATTATCTGTATTTTGTTGAGAATGTATATCCATATTACTTTTTATTTTTCTTTAGGTGATGATTCACCTAAAATGAAAAGCTTAGTAGACAACTTCCTGATATGGCACTGGAATATGATTGCATCCTTGGGAAGACAGCAGGGAACTGCCTGGGTCTGTTTTAAACCAGGTCTTATCACAGGTGGAAGGCATATTCATAAATAGGTTTCAAGTAAATTTGAAAACTTTGCAAAAACCTGACGGGATGTGACCACTCTCTATCATGTTCAGCGCCACTGGCTTGATTCAGATGTCCACCAGTTAATTCTCACAAACACAAACGAATGTGCTGTTGCCAGCATACAGACGCCATGATGAAAAGGAGAGAGAGAATGGGAAGATAATTTGAAAGAAAAGAGAACTACAACTAAAAGAACAGAGAAACTCTTCAAATAATCAAATTCTTGTTGGTATATTGTTTCAGGTCAGAAAAGAGTGCAGTGACGTTTTACCAAGTAAAAAATAAATTACTTAAAACTTCTATCCTTTTTCAAGTCTGACATCCTCCCTTTCAATTTGCTGTTCATGCTCAACCAACTTCTTGAGCAATGAAGCAATCATGGGTATGACAGCATTTCCAATCCAACTCCCAATTTAACATACGAGTGGGAGGCAGAAATGAAGACTGGTTCTCCGAATGCAAGCTCCTCTCGCACATGACATCAAAACTTCTTTCCATTGACCCTCTGATCTCATTTCACTTCCGTTTCTGATCCCTCAGTCATAGCTCTTCCCGTCTTCCTCCCGTCGGCTTGTCACATTTTGCGAATTACTAGAACAGTGGTAAGAACTCCTGCCAGGAATACCCCCAACGTCTGCCATGTGGGAGTACCAAAGTAGGAACGAATACTATCCTAAAAAACAAAACAAAAAAACAATATTTAAAGATGTCATGCTCAATTTGTCAAAGAGCAAAAGTCTGCGAATTAAACATTGTTAATTAGATCCTCACCCAACCGCCTTGCTCCCTTATCCAGTTGATCACATTTTCCCGGAGATAATCCATGGTCCATGTGATTATGGTTCTGATGATATCAGGTATATTGTTTACAAGAGCCTGGACAGACATAAGAGAAGAACTTTATTATTTTTCAAAGAACTCCACAAATAAGGAAATGGGTTACATCAGAGGTGCTTCACTCACCTTGATAACAAGCCGACAGGCAAAGTAGAAAAGGGCAACAACCCTGCCCCAGTTGTATTTTCCATCAGAAAAGATCTCAAGGGCAACTTTCACAAACATGTCTTTAGTGGGAGTGATCGAGGGGCGATTTATCATCCTGAAGAATGAAAATTTATTGGTTAGAGAAACAGTAAATATATGGGTATACTTTTAAAAAAAAAATTTTTTAAAGCCTTTTCATATGCAATACTTGTGTGTGATATTAAACACACATATCGAGTCTGACAGGTTTTACCTTTGGAGGTCTGTGTTTCCATCCAGCTCATCTCCAATCTGCTTCAGGCAGTGAGCGAGCTCCTTCAGGTGTGGCTCGCACAGCTCTCCTCCACCCAGCTGTTCTCTGGTCACAGTAGTAGCGCCCTCTGCATGTCGCTGAATCCGCTCGTAGATGAAGCTACAGAAGAAAACATGCAAACAAAATCAGAAGAACGTCTGTGTAGGTACATTTAATGACAGTGTCGGGCTGAAGTGCTGTCCAATCCCTGACTGGATAGAAGGAATGATCCCTTCTGCTTGGGACAATATGTTAATATTGTCATTAGTAAAACTGTGCTTTCTTATGCCCGAGGAAAGAGAGTAAAATGTGTTTCCCATTTTGACCACAGGATGTGTGAAAGTTTCATTCCTGTAAAACTTTATGATTTATCATAAAAAAACAACAACGACGCTAGAAACAAACTAACAAAGGAGGACTGTTTTGTTTTCAGCAAGCACAGGAACTCATCTTGTCATCTCAAAACTCACCAGCTCTCCACCGCCCCCACAATGTGCACAGTCGCAATTCGCTGAGCCGAATCACACTTCAATTGCGGTATGACTAATGGCTCTAAATTTCTGCAAAGTCTGAATCAGTCTTTGCACACCTAGGTCCTGGATTAACATCTTTGTGACATCATTGAGCAATAATGGCCATAAATACTGTTTTTTTCAGTACAGTAAAGACCACAATATTAGTTTTGTTATCAGCAAAGATCAACAAAATTACTGGACAGTATGAAGACAAATATGTTCAACATAATGAGGATGCAAAACCTGAGGAAGCCTCTGCAGCCTGTCAAGAACATTTCCTGATTAAAAATATGAGTGTAAAAAGAGAGGTATTCCAAACAAAGATTAAATTTGATGACTTACTTCCAGAGTAATTAAGATGATCAAAATCCAGATTAATTACAACTGACATTTGTCCAAGACAAGTCATATGATTTCACATTTCAATGACAAGAAAGACAGGAAATGGAAAGTGGACTTACTTCTTTAGCAATACAGCCCCTGTTTCCAGTATCTGATCCCTCGAGGATACTGAAAGACAAAGGTCAGTATTGGTCAAATAATCAGAATGCTGATGCACCTGCTTTGAAACTGTTTATTTATAGGATCATTGTAAATAATGACACATCCAATTTAGGCCCACTTTAAAATGAAACTGAAAGGCACTTTAAATTTTGCTAGAAGTTTTAGTTATTATTCAGTATTATTACATATTTATTATGTTACCATTATTATGCTTTTAGACTACTTTCACTCGCGTTTTTAAAGATATTCTATCATATCACGTATATATCAGTATTCACATATCAATCTGTACCATTTCGAATTCCTGTACCTATTTTACTCAGTCATTTGTACTAAATCAGAAAAGGTACCGGTAAATACATCAAGACAATGCGTATACCGGGGATTTCTCTCTCAAACAGGTAAGAATGAATATTTTCTTAATCTCCAAAAAGCTTTGGATACCGATTTTTCTGATATGGAAATAGAAATGTAAAACGTAATTAGATATGATAGTGTTCCGTTATATAAAAACAGAGTTAGATATGTTTAGGTAACAAATTAATACAAAATGTACATTTATTAAAAGTATTGAAAATAATTAAATCTACGTTTCGGTTTTGCTAACTCACTGATGTGGGGGAATTTAAGCTTAACAAGTGCTAACGCTTAGCTAACGTTTAGCGGTGTTGCTAAGCTAACTCCTGTTTAAGTGGCGATATTACGTGCAATCAAACTATTTAAAACCACAAACCAAGAGTAAAATGTTAAGGTTTTAGGTAATCTCTATAACAATGGTATACTTGGCAACACTGTCACAGCGTATTTAATATAAAAACGTTGTTGATGCCAGCCTATACCTTGATCACCTCTACCGCCACAGCCATCCGAATTCGATGCCATCTTCTTGACTGTTTCGATTGCTTCTGCTTCCGCACAATCATGTGACAACATTTATTTGTTTGTGAGCGCCTAGATGCAACCAATGGCTGCGGCATCCAGATTTGATAACCTCCTCCAACCTTGATGGGCCAAATATGGCATCAGAAAGCAAGCGCTTCGGTTTATGAATATGTTTTGTAGATCTGTCACAATTGTTTCAAGACAAACGATTAATGCCCTGAGCGCAAGTTACCACATGTCAACGCATATTTTCAATTGTATTTGATTATTAACTGAACAGCTGTTCGAAATAGGAAAAGTTGATTAGGAATAAAGATATTTGTATAATTCTTAGTGACGCACTATTGTTTTACGTCACTTCCTGCGGCTGGTCCTCTTCCGTCCGTCGCGCGCAACATTAGGCCTCTTTACGACTCGGCTGGCAAAGATGGCGGACGCACAAGTATGTTAAGCGAAACGGCGTGGTTGATTTTAAAGGCTATTTGTTAGTCTAAATAAACATCGTAGCTAGTATATATAGCGTGGAACTCATTTTATAATGTTTACATGTGTTATTAAGCAACTTCGAGACAGATTTATTGGTTGGAATTGGAATTGGCTACCGCCAGCACATCCTCGTGTTGCGTCGAAGTGTCCGGCTGCTAGCGTGACTAGCTTAGCATAGGTTTTGAGAAACATTTCCGTAATCTGTCAATATTCTAGGGTTGGTTTCCCTATCTTAATTTCCCAACTATAACGTCTCGATGTTACTTCAGCCACAATTCTATGTGTATTTTACATGCGAGCGAGTCGTATTTAAACTAAGTTGCAGGCAGGAGGACATGGAATGGGTACAGAGAAATGAAGATGTCGAGAACAATGACTAAGTTAACCTCCTTTCTGTGCTCTGTTCCTTCAGACCGAGAGGGCTTATCAGAAGCAGCCCACCATCTTCCAGAACAAGAAGCGGGTTCTGGTGGCTGATGGTGGCAAGGAGGTCAAGGAGAAGCTCCCCCGGTATCACAAGAGTGTCGGACTGGGCTTCAAAACCCCAAGAGAGGTGAGAGCTGAAGCCAGTCATTAAGGTCAAGTGTTGTGAATGTTTTCCTGCAAATGATGTTTTTCTCACGATGGTCTTCCAAGCCTGCATGGTTCTGACGAAAGTGCCTTTTGGCAACACTGATGCAATCAAATGAACTGGTTTTATTGAATTTAAGGATGTTCGATACCTCTATAATTTTGTTTTTTCTTGTGCAGGCTATTGATGGCACTTACATTGACAAGAAATGCCCCTTCACTGGAAATGTTTCCATCCGTGGCCGTATTCTCTCTGGTAAGTAAACCCTTTTTATACACCTATTTCTTTCCACCTGCAAACTTTTTTTAAGGAAAGTGGATCCCTATCAGGCACCTGTTCAGAGGTGGTTTAATAACAGTGCAACAGGCTGCTCGAGTCACAAAATCGGCTTAAGAAGTTTTTTTGTCACACGATACATTTTTGTCACTACTACAAATGATGCTTTTCTCACGATGGTCTTCCAAGCCCTTTGGGTTCTGACGACACTGCCTAATGGCAACACTGATGTGGTATAGTGACAAAAGTGAAATTGTTACAATTTATTATGGCTTGCTATAGTATTGACTTTCTTGACCAATGTTTCTAGTAGGCTATCTTCTTATTTTATTTATTTTTCTATTTTTAAAGGCGTGGTGACCAAAATGAAGATGCAGAAGACCATCGTTATCAGGCGTGACTACCTGCATTACATCCGCAAGTACAACCGCTTTGAGAAGAGGCACAAGAACCTGTCGGTCCATCTGTCCCCCTGCTTCAGGTATAATCCAAACGCTATTCAGTCAGTGTTTCTCCATTCATTGCAAATAGTTTTCAGTGTCAGCTTTAAAGAGATTTGACTCAAGTGTTGATGTGAAGGTGTGCTACTGAATTGATGAAATTAACAAAGTTCCACCTAGGAAAAAAAATCTAAACTGGCTGCAAATGATTATTTTTCTCACGATGGTCTTCCAAGCTCAAAAAGCTCTGACGACATTGCCTTTGGCAAACGCTGATGCAGCTTTGTTTTTACATCATTTCTCACAAATGAACATACAGATTCAGACTGCATGAACTTGATTTTCCACAAACGTCCAAATTCCACATGAACATTTTTGTTTTCCTGGCTCTTCCACAGGGACGTCACAGTTGGAGACATCGTGACTGTAGGAGAGTGCCGACCACTGAGCAAGACAGTGAGGTTCAATGTCCTTAAAGTAACAAAGGCTGCAGGAGCCAAGAAGCAGTTCCAGAAATTTTAGGTGTGACTTTGAACAGGAAGGCTGCTGTTGGCTGACTGGTGTCAATGTCAATTAAAGAAAATCTTGTTTAAGTTGCCTTCTTTGCCTCTTTTTTTTCTTAACAATCCATGTTTAAAGGTTTAAAAGTTAAAATAGTTTGTGACCTTTTCTAGGACACATTAAACTGATGGTACGCTGCATTACTTATGGTCTGTGTTGTAAATGGACTGAGCCATGAAACATTTAGCCCATATCCTAAAGTAAAAATTTCAAACTTTGCTTCACTAACTCCTTTAAATTAGGGATGCAGTAGTTAATTCAATTTTCTGAATACAAGGAAGGGCTATTGCCCGTTTGAATACAAATACGATGGAGTTGTAAAGGTGTAATGTAACCAAACTGCTTTTACATGTTAAGGGTTCAAGAACAGTTTACAGGGTGACTCATTCTGGTGAATTAATATGCACACATTTTTTTCACATTGGCGTTCATTTAAATTGAATTCAGTCTTTAACATTTGCTGAGGAAGTCAGACTATTTTCAGTCCTATTTATCTAAAATGAGGCTATACTCCTCTAGTATCTGCCGGTCACTGTCATATTGCAAGTTTTGCAGGAGGCACATTGTACCAGTGTCTGGAAGAATGGATGCCCTACATTGAAATGGAACAATACAGATTGAAACTCTGATTTGCTCTGATGGGGTGTACACACCACCAGAGTAGTTTCTTTAGATGAGAACTTATTAATGGGTTATAATGCTTTTCCTTCTTTGTGGGTTTGTGTGCAGCAGCGCCTCCCAGTGGCACACAAGCATTTCCACCATGTGGACAGACATTGCCAGCAGGGGACAGCCGGTGAATGCTGGATGTTGTAAATCACACTGAACTCATTTAGAGGCAGCAAGGGACTGACCAGCATGTGCAAAGGTCTAAAGCTGCCTTTTAGAGGGAGCTGTTGGTCTGCAAATGATCAGCGTGGGCTTTTTAAATAGAAACACCTTTTATTGGTCGATTGTGTGGCACGTGTCAGCATGTCCTTTGGGTTTGCAAAAAAAGCTTAAACAAGGAAACATTGTCATAAGAACCACTTCTAAAGAGGACAAAGCAGAGGGAAAAAAAGGTGACTTTTCTTAGTTTTGTAAAATATTTTCACATCAAAAGAGAAACATGGTCAAAGATTTCTTCCATCTTTGATTAGATGGTAGGCTTCAGGTTGGATTAAAATTTAAATGTTTGCTGTGTGAACCTTTATTTTAAATCTTGTGCGTATGTGATGTGCTGTACCTCCTTTCAAAAAGTGTCCACGACAGTGGCTGTAATGTGACCTTACAGGCCCGAGGATTATCAATAAATTCCAGAATCTAGATAAATATATGCAAATATTCAACAAGCCCAGATCACTGTGTTTCCATTGGCTTTCTTTATCATCTGATTCATTTGCATGTGTCCTTATTTATGATAGACGCATGTTTTTTTGTGTGGGAATCAGTCCTTACCCCCATCCACCCCCCGCCGTCTGTCCATTAGCTTCCACAGCAGAGGCGTCATCATTAGCATAATGATGCTATGGATTTTTTTTTTTTCCCTCAAATCTTCTGGTGAAAGTGGACCATATGGTAATGATGCAAAGAGGAGAAAGTGGTTAATAAGTGCTCAGATGTGATCCCATCATTTAATGATGAGCAGCATGACCATCTGTTCTTCTCAGGATTATATTTTTGCAGGAAATATTTCCCATGAATACAGTTTTTCCTTAGTTTTATTTCACTGTGATGGCCTGCAGACCTGTCCAGGGTGTACATCGCCTCTCACCCACCGACTGCTGCCAGAGGCTTCAGCCGCTTTGAATTAGGCAGCCATAGAAAAAGGATGGATGGACTGGTTTGTTTTATTTGCCGTGGCCGTATAGCTCTCCACATATGCTACGCTGTTTACCTAAACAACAGTCCCAGCATCAAACCACAAATTGTCCTCTTTTGCACAGGGGGCTTTCCCAGCTTCTCCTCAAACCGTAGACTCTACAGGAGGGTGGGAGGGCTTTTTCTTCAGGATGTTCTCTGAAAAACAAGCTCCCTCACAAGCAGACACCCCAGAGAGCGCGGTGGCCCAGCGCACACACATCCACGCTCATGCGGAGTGTTTGTTTTAGGGCAGAGGTCTGAGCCCTGAAAAAGTCCGAGCAACAATAACAAACCCAAGCTGCCATCTGGACACTGTGACGGAAATGTGCAAATAGAGTTGTCCAGGTCTGCACGTCGTTTATCTGCTCATCAATATATGCCCTAACCCTAACCCAGGCACTATATAAGTGAGACAAAAACTTTAATATCCAGCCTTTGATGATGACCAGGTAACTTTCTTTGAGGTGACTGTGACCTCTAGTATTGCTAATTCTCTTTTCAATGATAGCATTTCTGCTTTTAAACATGAGAAAAAGTGATTTTTATTATATATATTCTGAGGCTGTACGCATCACAAGCTGGCAGCTTAAGCAGGTGTTCCTACCTAAAAGATAGAACCCCCTCGCCTCCCCTGTTTCAGGTTCAGTAAATGGGGTGTTATGCATAGAAATCCTCATTGTGAAACATTTGTTTATTTAAACCGGCGTAATTAAAGAGGTGAGAAATGTGAGGTCTCAAAATGATCGCATTTCCACACAAAATCGCTCACACCGTCCGTCCGTGTCTGCATTCTGCGCAGCACACAGTCTCTCCAACTGTCACTCTTAGCATTCTCCCAGTTTGCCAACGTGTTTACCAAGTGTCACGGCGCATTCTTGTGGCCGTCCTTACTTGTGTATCCAGTGGCACGGATGTTAGCTCAGAAGGTCAAGCCGAAGAGGGTAACGGCCGCAATCAAAACAGAGGCCTTCTGGTGGCTCAGCAGGAGGGTTGAGCAGGATCCTGGACCCTTGTTCTGGGCCGTTTGGAGGCTGTCAGCAGCTCCAAACTATTTTTCCAGCAGAGGTGGCAACAATAGATCAGAGCTGATGCAGCCAACAGATGGAGGCCACGTTATGGGGAGCTGTAACCGATAAAGGCCTTTATCCTGCAGTCTGCTCTCCAAACGGGGAGCCTGTGCCTCTGCAGAAAGGTGCAGGGAATGTGCTCAAGGTAAGACTGGTAAAATGTGATGTATTGTCTCCTTTTCTTTCATGCTGAAGATAGTGCATCACATGATTTCACCATGCACAGTGTTTTCAGAAGTTTAGTCATGCACGCATTATCAATGAAAGCTGAACCGAGCAAACGCATTTCTAATGTTCACTTTGAACATGATAGCCGTGTTGCTTTCGGGACAGTGTTCTTACTTCTGGCTTGAACGAATTTCTGGTTTTAGTTATGTCCTTAGCAAATGGAATGCAGCTGGCTAAGATCAACAGGCTGACTTTGTATTATCAGAATATTCAGCCTCTTCTGGGTTGTTTCAGTCCAGTCATCTTCGCTGCATGTGGCTGAAACAGACCATAATCCACTTCTCCCAGTTTGTCAAGAAACCCTTCAGTACAATAAGATACACATTCTTGTCCCCTCTCTCCCCTCAACTTCCCGTATCATCAAAAGACTTTTAGTTCCTCGCCTCCAAAAACAAGTGAGCCCTTTTTAGGATCTGCAGCCGACTTTTCATTGAGGATTGAAGATGCTATTGAATTCTTTCTTCAGCGGGGCCCCTCTGCTGTGGACGGAACATGTCCTCGGCACTTTTGATACAGTTCATCCCACACACTGGTTGGTGTGTGAGAAGCTATGTACAAAATGGATGTGTCCGCAGCCACTGAGGTTACTGACAGACTGACAAAAAGACCACAGATAGTGAAAGTGAAAGGTTGTTTGTCTGCTAATCACATCGTTTCACTTCACTCCTTTCACCCCAAACTTTCAGAATAACTCCTGTTGAGTCCAGAATACTCAGATGAGAACTGGCCGACTGTTTTTTGGCATCATGGGACCAGCACATACTGTTTTGATCATTGGTCAAGAGTGGATGCAGTTGAGGAATACAAACGTCTGGGGGTCCACCTGGAGTTTCGATGACGTTCAAATTTAATGATTAGAGAATAGTGATCATCAAACTACACTATAACATTCTCATGAAAAGTAAATCCTTGTTTTACCACGGACACGTTCCTCCCCTCCTCTGCAGGATAATATTTATCTGTTAAACCCCCTCTCCCTGTCCAGAAGCTCACGGACGGGGTGCTCAGCAGAAACGCTGGGCCAAATCAAGGGTCAGCCCAGAGTAACCCTGCACATCTGGACATGTCATCAGCCATTAAGATTTGCACAAAGAAAGCCAAAGTTCTTGAGAGAAAGGAACATAACATACCCACACAAAAACAAAGGAGGCTTGAAAAACAAATGGCCCTACATGTGGACTACTACTGAACGAGGGTCGGGCTGGCGGGCAGATGAAAATAAAAAAAAAGTGAAAGTAGATATGGGACGTAATGAGCATGACAAGATCTATTACTTCAAGGTTAGAGGTCCCGGTCACAGCCATCAGCGGCTGATATCTGCCAAAGCACCGTGGCCTTCGTAACTGATTTTAAGCGACTGAGCAGATGTGGACGCAGCTCTTCACTTGCACACTCATCAACATTTGAAAAATACTTTATTCTCGTCAGATTTCTGTCCATTAGGGGTTAAATACAACTCAGTATTAACCAAACGAACCTTGATTTTGAGAGTGGATCCCAGTGCAGAACCAGGAGGACGGGGGCTCACCTGGCCTGGCCTGTAAGCCGAGAGCCTCCTGGGTTCTGCACCACAGCCCCTAATTCAATATGCACGTGTCCAGCTGACTTCATGCCTGTCCGTTGGGCAGACAGCATGTCTGGCATGTGTGAGTGCGGTGGGCATCTCCAGTTTTTACGGCCCCGCTGTCAGATCAAAGCGGCGGCCGGTGCTGGCAGATCACAGGGTGTGTCCAGCGGCGCTCTGCGGTCATGTGTGAACCGTCCGGCACGGCTGTCATCAAAGCTCTCCCCCCCCGGGGGTGCGCTCCTGCTGAGTGACGGCCT